TTAAAAATGGCGGATGCGAATACTCATATTACAATGTCTTGCTTTCACCCCACCTCTCCTCTGCCAAGAAACGCATGACTTTCCATGTGAAGCAAGATTTACCTAAATGAAAAGTAAAATAAAAAATTTTTTTTTATTTCCCGAAGTTAAGACTATATTCTTCATTTTTGCATCGAATAGACTTTACAAAATTTCAAATTAATCGTAAGCAGGGATTATTTGGAACTATATCAAAACTATCGTTTAGTATAACAAATATAGTAAAATAGGGAACAAATATAAAAAATAATTACAAGAATAATTTTTGCATTGTTTTAAAAAAATCAATTTAGAGAAAATTTCGTATAAAAAATTACTTGTGCATAATTATATATAATTTTATATATAATTATGAGCAATTCTTTTATATTTCTCCAAACTTGATAAAACAAAAAATGCGCAAATTATTCCCATAAAATGTTTATGAATGTTTATATACATTTATGCACATTTGTATGTATCTATTTATATATACAATATATATTAGTGCATGAAAACATTTTATCAGATATGACACATGTATCACTAATTTTTAGGCATCTATTTAAAAGAAATTTTGATACAAAGTGTAAATGTCTCTCAGTGATAAAAACATATTTTAACATTAAAAGTTATTGTTTGATTTAAATAAAACTCAACTTTGATGTTGTACAGTTAAGTTACATAATATGATAAAGAGATAGTTAAACACTTAAAATTATGTTGTTCACCTTCCCCGTTTAAAATCTAATTTACAAATTTCGTTGCAGCTCTCTCTGTCTAGAAATTATTTGGCTACAGCAACGCTTGCCTACATTATATTTGCCGACAGTATGATTGTTTGCACATAATAATTATTGCCTACATCTCCATTGTCTATGTACATTATTGCGCATAAATATAAAATTAAAAAAAAAGACACGTATTTACACATGACAACATTGCGTACAAACTGCATTACTGCGCACATAATATTATTGACTACAGATCGATTACCTTTGAGCATTTTTGCGTATAAATAATAATTTCAGAGACAATTTAATCACATTTACTTACACGTTGTGCCTGCAAGCAAATCTGTATACAAAAATAAAATTAAGAAGCAAAAGTTTGTTTGCACACAGGTATTATTGCTTACTGATCGATTGCTTACGAGCATTAAAATTATATAAAAATAATTTGTGATTTTAAAATACAGAATTTATTTTTTTAAAGTAAGGAATTTGCGTTTTAAATGCAGAGAATAGTGCATGTAGATAATAAATTTATGCGCAAAAAACCGTTGACAAATGTGACATAGAGAAAAGGTATTGTAGGCAATCAATTTGTGAGTGAACGGAGTCTTTCCTCTCAGGAATAATACGTCAATCCTTATTTAAAGCAAGATGTTTTTTCGCAGAACTCTAGGAATATTATGGCAGTGATTCCATTATTGAAACAAGAACAAAATACTAATATCAATAGTCTTAATATAGATCTTATTTGTTCTAATATCAATTGTCTTAATATAAACCTTGTTTATTGATTTACAATAGTATATATAAGTGATAGTCATACATACAAAAATAATAGTCAGCACGTACATCCAATCTTAAAATGAGACTGTTCTGAAAACGTAGTTGAATAAATTAGCATTAAGAGATTTTTTATCACGATTATTCTGTACATTTAGGATACGTTTTGTTTTCATCTTTATACACGCTAGTACAAAACGTACATTTAAGATAGTGCGCACGCGGTAATATCATTCAAAAGTTAAGTTTGCGAGTTCAATGACAGTACTTTCACATTCTGCTCCCGCCAGTGCACAGTGGAACCGATCGTCGAAGAAGCGATCAAAAGTCATTTGTAACACCTATATTAAATGTACATAATAATTTTCTACATACCGACAGCTACAAAATACTCTAATATTATACAATATAACACGTTATAGACACATTATAGACAAACATGGAAATAATGCGTTATTAAAAATAATAATAACTGTAAAAAAAACCTTTATATAAATTACTTCACTCTTTAATACAATCTTGAAATTTGTAACTTTTCTAGATATATTTACTAAATGTAACATAATATAATATACATAATTAATAGAAGCATTATAAAAACTATTGGTTACTGCAATAATGGTTAGCATATAGAGTAATTAATACACTGTCTTACACTGTATTTATGTTTTATTGCAATCATTCGAAAGTTTGATCTTTTGTGATAATTTAATTTTTATACTATTTTTTGGTATATCAAAATGTGGCCAATGGAGTGTTATTACAAAAGAGTTATATTAAGATATACATTATATAGGATGTACACATATCCGGACGTATTAATTATTATTAATTTATCAAATGCTCTTGTTATTAAAATATTGAAATTATGTTTGGCAATTATAATATGGTATTAAATTACAATATGGTATTCAAAAAATTTGAAATTTATATAATACTAAATGTTGTGTTAATGTTCGGAATAGGTATATGTTCAGTCGCTAGGACGTTTACCATAATAAATTTTTCAAGTCGCCAACACGATTATAATGTCAGAATTAAAAATTTCGAAATGACTTTATATGGCAAACTAAAATTTTAAAACATTATTTGAAACGCATGAGAATTGGTTTTTAGAGAGTTTTTTCGAGTTTCTAATCTTGATTTTGACATAAAAAATAAATAATTCAAATTGGCGCAACATGGCAGATTTTAATTTTAAAACATTGTTAAAAATACATGTAAATTTCGAAATTTTTTGGGTGATTGATCATGATAAATCTAACATCAGAATAAGAAAATTTAAAATATCTAAAAGAACGTTTTAAATTAAAAATATATGTATATAATTATATATTTCTAAGTATATATATATATTCTAATATATAATTTTCAGAATTTTAATAATTTGTATGAACAAGTCTGACATATATGCATCTGTCATACAATCATTTTGAATTTTCTAATTCTGATGCTAGAATTGTTATGATCAGCCACCCAAAGAAACTCCAGAAACAAACATGTGTTTTAAACACTATTTTAAAAGTAAAATTAGCCGTATAAGAATCGCCATTTTAAACTAATTATTTTTTTGTCAAAATCGAAATCAGCAACATAGATAGATTAACGTAGTTTATTGCTTTCAAGAAATTCTGGTTTTAATTCGCTAATATATTATCTTAAATCCAACGAACACGTAAATAATTAAAGTTATTCAAAGTAATGGCCGGTTTTGACTTTTGAACATACATTATGAACTTTACACGTCGGTGATCCTGTGTCTGACAGTGTTTTATTGTATCTCCTAGAAAAATCTCGTAAAAAAATTACATCTTTTTAAGTCACTAACACGATTCTAATGTCAAAATTGAACATTTAAAAATTACAGATTTAATATGGCAAACTTGAATTTTAAAACATTGAATTTTGAAATGCTTGAGGGTTGGTTTTTAGATAGTTCTTTTGAGTCTCTAATCTTGATTTAGACATAAAATAGAAATAATTTAAATTGCCGTCATGGCTGTTTTTAATTTTAAACCGTCGTTAAAAATGCATGTGAATTTCAAAGATTTTTGGGTGGCTGATTATGATGAGTCTGCCATCAAAATAAGAAAATTTAAAATTCCTGAAGAAATTTTAAAAATTAAAAAATATATATATACTTATACACATTTTTAAGTTTATATATATATATTTTTTTTTTCAATAGATATGAATTTTAAAAATATTAAGAATTTGTATGAGCAAGTCACAGTTATGTATGCATGTGTCATACAAGTATTTTGAATTTTCTAATTCTTATGTCAGAATCATTATGATCAGCAACCAAAGAAACTCCAGAAGTAAACATGTGTTTTAGACACGATTTTAAAAGTAAAATTAACAATATAAGAAGTGCTATTTTAAACAAATTATTTTTTGTCAAAATCGAGATCAGTCACGTAGATAGATTAACGTAGTTCACTGCTTTTACTTTGATTCACATTTCAGATTGACACAAATGTTTACAGAATTTATTAAAATTAAATTCTTTTCACAAATCTATTTTGCAAACTAAATACTAAAAAATTACGATATTTTTTTTATAATATACGTTTAATGTTTTTTCTGTGCATGATCGTGTTTTATTAACACATCACTGTTAGTTTAGACAAAATTAATATGACAAAAATAAATATGACATTTTCATTAATTTTGTATAAGCGACACGTATAAGATGCATTCAATTGCTTACATCTTAGTATTGAAATCACAATCTCATTTCAATTGCATAACATCTACTAATACAATATAATATGTCTATCAATTTCAAGAAATTCTGTTTTTAATTCGCGGGTGTATTACCTTAAATTCAACAAAAATAATTAAAGTAAATAATTAAAAAAGTTAATTTATAT